AATATAGAACCATTAAAAGTCCATCTGGTTATAATTTATTTCGTGGACTTTACAAAATATCCATCACTTCAGATCAGACGTAAAGATAAGAAAAAGTGAAAAAAGGAGACCAGGGAGAAAAAAAGAGAAAAAAAGGAAAAAGCTTTGAAAATAAAAAGGAAGAAAAATGAAAGGAGAAAATACAAAACTCTTGATATAAGTTTTATTTTGATGGACGGGGATCTTTCTTTTTTTTGGGGGGGGTTGAACAGGAGTAGAATTTTATCCTTTTTTCGGTTCAACATTTGGGTTTCCGATTTTTTTCTGGGATATTTTCCTTCACTTTCACTTTCGGTAGCCCCCTCGCGTCTTAGTGGAATTATCGCCTTGCTTGAGGTGAATTGATTAAAATAAACTACTTACCTCATCGCAAGACCGCAAGAGATGTGCACAAAATACGAATCCATCTCTCTGTGTTTCTGTGTCATCTCTGTGACAGATAACGAGGAAAGAGGGCTTGGAAAACTAAACACTCACAGGACATATTGAAGTCAAACAGCGATTAAACCCCCGCACATATTTTTTTTTAATGAAGGGCAAAACGTGGAAGCGAATTGAGAGGGATAGGCAGTAGAGTAATATTTATAACAACTACAAATATGGGTAGATGTGGAGAGACGTGATCGTACAGACACAGCGTAATAAAGAAGAATGTGCGTTTATCCTTATAAAGGAGCAATCAGAGAAACGAAGAAAGGTGCTGAAGAAATTGGCTAGGTGTGGGAAAACACGGAGTTAAACGTCGAAATATCAACGCTCGGTCGTTTTCCGCGACCTCTTCCCCGTCCCAAGAACCAACCACCACTGCCTACTGCCCCGCACCCCATCGCCTGCCCGAAGTAAGCTAGACTGACCTGTCCTACTTGAAGCGCAACATTCGACACTGACAGCTAATAGCGGCCAATAAATTGTAAATTTCTTCCCCTATAATCTTTTCGAATTTTTCACCCTCCCACGAGTAAAGACTCGATTTCTACCTTCATGTATTGATTCGTTGGCTTGGACTGTGCTCTTTTAGTGTTGTGTATATTCACCTGATGACGATACTCTCTCTCTCTCTCTCTCTCTTTCTTTCTCTCTATTTGTTTGTATGGGAAGGGGATTTCTAGCCCCCCCCCTCTCTCTCTCACACAACTATTTACTCTCCCTATTTCACTCTTATACAGCCTTACGTACTCCCTCAGACGTTTTCCTTTACTCTCATTATTTCATTTACTCTCTCCTTCAGTCATGCTCTTCTAAACTCCTTACTCTCTCAATGACGCTTTTTCTCAACTCTCCTTTTCTCAATTACTCTTCCTTTCCCTTACACATAAACCGTTCTACTTTCTCAATCACCCCCTTTTCTCAAACCCTTTTATTTTCGTTCCTCACTCTGCTAACACGCTCTCTCATTTTTTGCTCGCCATTTTCCTTGGACTGTGCTCTTTTAGTGTGTGTACATTCACCTGACGGCGATACTTTACCTCCCTTTCTTTTGCGTGTAGGGGGGAGGGGATTTCTAGCCTAAAGTCTCTTATCCAACCTCTCTCTCTCTCTCTCTTTCTCTCTCTCTCTTTCTATCTCTCTTTCTCTCTCTCTTTCTCTTTCTCTCTCTCTCTTTCTCTCTCTCTCACAACCATTTACTCTCCCTCCTTCACTCTACATAATTCACTGTACATACTTCCTCAGATGCTTTCCTTCACTCTCATTATTTCATTTACCATCTCCAGTCATACCTCTTACTCACATAAACTCCTTCACTCCTACTCACTATCACACTTACTTAATCTCCCACAAGCTCTTTCACTCACACTCATACTCAATTTGCGCTGACACGGTCACGCCAATTTACAGCTGAGCTGGCTAGATGCAAACATTCGTTTTACGTTCTCGCTTGTGGAACTCTCTTCCGGTTCCATCTTTTCCAGACAAGTTTGATCTTCAGAAATTAAAATGTCTATCGTTATCTACTATCTTCTTGATTCCTCATCTTTTATTGTTCCCGCTCCTTAAAAAAATGTCTCCGTATCTGTCTCTATTTCTGAGATGAGGTATTTTGTACACTATTTACATTATTCGGATTATTGTCCTCATCTTTGTCGCCATATATATTACAACGTTTCAGCCTTTCAGTATCTGTCTATATTTCTGAGATGAGGTATTATGTACACTATTTACATTATTCGGACTATTATCCTCATCTTTGTCGCCATATTTATTACAACGTTTCGGCCTTTCAGTATCTGTATATATTTCTGAGATGAGGTGTTATGTACATTATTTACATTATTCGGACTACGTTGTAATAACTATGACGACAATAATGAGAACAATAGTCCGAATAATGTAAATAATGTAAAAAATGTCTCTTTTTATTCTAACTCTTTTGCATTCAGTAACAGCCCGTGTCTTAGTGGCTTCACTGCCTTCCTTGGAGGTTAAATGATTAAAACAAACTCACGTATTCTTGTTATCACACCCTTTTCCTGTTACACTTTTCTAAACTCCTTACTCTCTCATTCACACTTACTCTCCTTTTCTCAATTACTGTTCCTCCCACTCACATATAAAGAGTTCTACTCCTTCAATCAAACCAACCTTTTCTCAAACCCTCTTACTTTTATTTCTCAATTTGATAGCACGCTCCCATTTTTTGCTCGCCATTTTCCTATTTTTAATGGTATTTTTCGATTGTTTTGTCTTTCTTATTTAAAAAAAAAGTCCTTATCTTTTAAATATCGAAAGTGTTATGTTTTCTTGGGATGTCACTTTTTCTTTATTTTGTATAAAGCAAATAACATTTTTTTCAGTGTTTTCCACCTCATCGCCTCTAGGCTTGGGTCCTTCAAGATAAGCTTTCAAATTATTTGATTTTACCTATTTTCGAACCCCTACCTCTCATCTCAGTCAGGCAAGCATAGTTATATCACTATGAATTGCGCCGACTCATGATGTGTATCCATATTTATTAAACTTTAGTCTAGTATAAGGCCAAGAGGATCCCCATTGGAGACTGCGCTCACTAATATTGAAATGGTAGTTTCAAAAACATCCCCAAGATGAGCCTGAACATAATTCGAAATGCCACTGATGCTGATCAAATAGAATGCTGACAACGAGATGAATGACACAGGATGAGAAACGTTGTATTACTCCAATATCCCAAGCATTTTATGCCTACCTGGAAAACAAGCAGCCGAAACTCTAGTTTTTATTGGGTTTGAACCTTTGGCAATGTTGCGAAGTATGTAAAAACTTCAGATCCGCCAACAAGTCAACTATTTCTCTATATATCTCTTTGATTGAGAGGAAGGCAAAAAAAAGACATATCAGTGACGCTAGTTGGCGTCAGTGAGATAAAGAACGAAAGAAAAATAGGAATAAAAGACAGAAGGGAGGAGAAAAAATTCTGGTATTTAAATTTGAATGAGAAAAATAAATAAATAAAGAAAGAAAGAATAGGAATAAAAACAAGAAGGACAGACAGAAATAACGATTCATCAGAAAATGATTTAGGGAAGAGAAAAAAAAATCTGGTATTTAAATTTATAAATGTTTCCTATTTGTCCTTTATCCTATCATTCTGTCGGATTCCAATCCATATTTGCCCTATATTTGACCCCAATTCATATAGATATAAATTTTAATTCTTTTCGAAAAACAACCTTTCTGCTGCTGGTTTTATAGCGTCAGGCAGTAAAAAATAATTTTACTGCCTGGCGGTACCAAATTTATAGAGACCTCGGAAACAGGAAAGTTGGTTTTCGAAGCTTTGTATTTTAAATTGTTCTACATTTTATTTATTTTTAATTGCATTGAGCGCTTTTATGCTAACTTAAGCGGTCATTAATTAGAGAGGATGGTCCGAAAGTCTTGTCACCCTAACTGTCTCTTTCAAAACTGTAGGGGTTTCATGTGTCAGCCATCGGAAAATTATATTATATAAGGGTGACAAGACTTTAGGGACACGCTGTGTGTATATATATATATATATATATATATATATATATATATATATATATGTGAAGAAAAATATACGGAAAAACAAACAAAAATCCTTATATACAATTATGCTGTTTTAATGTTAATATGTCAACGTCGGACGTTTCGGTCTGTTGAATTGATAATGTTAATTATATTTTATGAATATGTCCTGAAGATGGTTTATTAGACCGAAACGTCCGTCCATTATAATTGTATATAAGGATTTTTGTTTGTTTTTTCCGTATATTTTTCATACTGGATCTATATCCATATATATTTGCTTGCATATATATATATATATATATATATATATATATATATATATATATATACATAGATAGATATTAGGTTAGTGCAAAAATAATGACGTAATAATGTCGTTTTTTGACGTTAAAAATACGTCAAAAAACGATATTATTACGTCATTATTTTTTTTACTAAACTATAGATTTAGATAGATAGATAGATAGATAGATAGATAGATAGATAGATAGATAGATAGATGAGTGCTTTAGCAACATGATCCACTTCTGACTAAGCAACAGAAGTCAATTTTCGTTGACGGGGAAAACCTCTTGATTTGGACAAGAAATTTTCAGCACACCCTCGTCTGTATGAACGGGTATGAGACAGAGAAAAAAAAAAAATAACAAGGGAGTCGAAAACCCTTGTTTCTTAGAATCGAGTCCTACAGGGTGGTCCGAATGTTTTGTCACCCAAACCCACACTTCCAAACCGTGTCAGCCATCTGAAATAGAAAATAATGTTATGTAGGGGTGACAAGACTTTCGGACCACACTGTATATCCCCCTCCGATAATACCACCAGACAAATAGGCAAAATAAATCGTCCTTTTTTTTTTTTTTTCCAAAACGATTGTCTGTATTAATTGCTCACCAAAGATGCGTTGTTCATGCAGCCGGGCCACACGTGTGTGGCCTCCCATAGGAGGCACAAACTTATGCGCAGAGAGGCACACCTTCCGGCAGATTTAAATGAACTTTTCTGATGTCTTCTTTTACGTGATAGCAAATGTAATTTGCCCCCATTTCATGTTTAGCGTGGGATTTCCTACCGGTGATATCCATTAAGCAACCTTGTTTCTATGTTTTTAAAAGCGATATATGCCTATGCAATCTGTCAACATTTTAAAAGTGTTCCTAATTTCGTTGGATATTCTGCGCAATTACCATGATCAATCTGATTAGACATTTAAAAAAAAAAAAAAACACTTATTTTCATTTTGTTTTTTTTGTTTCTTTTCATATCAGCAAACAAACCATTTTGGCTTGGTTTGGTTTGTTTTATGGCATATCAACCTCAATTGGGTATTTAATTCCGACAATTTTTATCGCTAGTAATATTTCTTCTTCAAAAATGTATCGTTGGTATTTTTTTTCCAAAAATGTATTGCTGGTAATAATGTATTTACAAAGTATTTATGGTGTTAAAACCTGTTTTTACACTTTCATATTGTTTTGACCTAGTTTGGGGTTGACTATATGCCCAAACCTGGGACCTTAACACATGCTACCAGCCCGGATCAGGTTAGACCTGGGAATAACAGCAATTAAGAGATGGTTCCACGCTTCTCAAAACCTCCTGATCAGAGGCCTTGCTGTTGGACGTAGTTTTTCGTCAAACCCAGGACGGACACCATTTTGGAAGCACTTGATATGTTTAAAGTGTATACGTAATACATATATAAGTTATAAAGCGTGTGTAATGGCTGAAAAGCATACCACTTGATCCAAGATTTGTGAGTGAAATTGGCTCTCTTTCCTTCTCTTTCTCTCTCTCTCTCTATTCTTTTATTTCTATCTCCTCCTACTACTACTCTTTAGCCAACTGTCAGTCCCCCCACTGTCTTTACACTTTCTCTCTTATTTCTTCTCGCACACTCTTCTACTCTCTACCCTAGTTTCCCCTTCTCTCTTTCTTTCCCACCGTTTCTCTGCCCACTGCTCTTTCTCTCATTTTTCTCCTCTCACACTCTCTTTCTTTCCCCTTTTCCAACTTCTTTATATCCCAGTATTTCTTTCTCCTCTTCTTACTTCCCCTTCCACCTGTCACTCCTTCTTTTATTGCTTTTCTTCTGTCTTTTAATCTCAGACTTCTTTCTTTCCTTCTCTCTGTCCTAGCTCCTTTATTTCTTTGTTTTTTTCTCTGCTTCCTAGTCTTTCTCTTACTCCCCCATCTCCCCTCTCATTGTCTTTGCTCTTTCTCTCCCTTTCCATCTCACACTCTCTTTTCTACTCTCTGTCCTTGTTACTCTCTCTCTCTCTCTCTCTCTCTCTCTCTATTCCTCTATTCTTTCTCCTCTTACTACTTTTTCTCCTCCCTCCTATTCTACTGCTATGAGTCTTTCTTTCCTTTTCCACTCAATTTTCTTCTTTCTCTCCATTTTCTCTCCCTATCCATTTATTGCTTTCTCCTTTTCTTTTTTTCTCTCTTATTTTACCTTTGTCTCTCCTCCCTCCTATTCTACTGTTATGAGTCTTTTCTTTCCTTTTCCACTCCTTTTCTTCTTCTCTCTCTCTCTCTCTCTCTCTCTCTTTTCTCTCTCTATTGTTTTTCCTTTTTCCTTTTTTTTTTTCTCTTTATTTTACCTTTGTCTCTCCTCCTCCTATTCTACTGTTATGAGTCTTTCTTTCCTTTTCCACTCACTTTTCTTCTCTCTCTCTCTCTCTCTCTCTCTCTCTCTCTCTCTTTTCTCTCTCTATCGGTCTATTGCTTTCTCCTTTTCTTTTTTTCTCTCTTATTTTACCTTTGTCTCTCCTCCCTCCTATTCTACTGTTATGAGTCTTTCTTTCCTTTTCCACTCACTTTTCTTCTCTCTCTCTCTCTCTCTATTTTCTCTCTCTATCGGTCTATTGCTTTCTCCTTTTCTTTTTTTCTCTCTCTTATTTTACCTTTGTCTCTCCTCCCTCCTATTCTACTGTTATGAGTCTTTCTTTCCTTTTCCACTCACTTTTCTTCTTCTCTCTCTCTCTCTCTCCCTCTCTCTCTCTCTATTTTCTCTCTCTATCGGTATATTGCTTTCTCCTTTTCTTTTTTTTCTCTCTCTTTTTTGCCGTTGTCTCTGA